TCCGCACTCATGAGGCAGTCTCTGAAATGTCTAGGCGCTTCCTCACCGTAAACTACGGCTTCAACGTTGCCTCTCCCTCGCATACCACCCAACAATCTCCAAGGCTCACCCTCTGTTAGTCAAAATAAATTTTACAACTGTAATGAAACATAACTAAGTGTTTTGTGGTTTGTAGAAAAAAGGATGATACCCTATATCTTGCGGCGGATGGTAAGGAGAGGCTTGGCAGAGCCGTCCATGAGAAGGACCTGGCCTCTATTACCGTGCATATAGTTATCCACTCGGAAAACCAGATCTCCTTTGGAGTCAAACACCGTGAAGCCGTTGCAGTTGAACATCAGAGACTTGTTCCAAACCGTTAGCACAAACACCTCACCATCCGCTTCTGATGGCGGATTCTTCTCGCTCTTGGGATGAACCTTTGCCATTTTCTTGCTTCTGTGTTATGAGTGTTTGACTTACTGTTGAAAGAGAGATCATAAGGCAAACAACATATAGCATGCAAGACGTACCTGCCGCTTTTATATATATGATCTCACCAACAACCCCAAGGGTCCCTACCCTTTCATCTCTCTTTTGGTTAGCCTTTCTTGTCTTCTTTTCTTTATTGCCCCCACCGTGCTCATGACTACGACCCCACATGATGGTTTTTCTTCTTCAAGTGCTTCCCATTAGATTATAAACTTTATTAGATTACATATATGACCTGTCGCACTTGCACGAGATGACCCATTCTACAACCATTCATTCTGATTTTTTGTTTATAAAAAAACTCAATTAATATGGTCAAGCTATAATTTTTTTTTGTTTTAAATTTCTGGTTATATTGTTTTTTTTTAACATCTTTCTGGTTATATTCATTAGGAACTAGTTACAATATAGAAAAAAAATAATACAAACTAGCTTCGTTCAAAAACCAAGAAGGTAAAAGAAAAAGAGAAGATTAAACTGTGGAGGTTAAACACCTCTGAACCATAAGCCTAGAGAGTCGCAGAAACTTGGCCTTTCATTACGAGCAAGGCACGAGTTCCGGACACCTCTATCCACTTTTTTGAACAAGACCTCAGCTGGTAGAGACTTGTTGTTAAAGATGCGATCGTTTCTTTCCTTCCAAAGATCGTAAATTATCTCCTGAGCCATAAGAAGTCGTAGATTGTTCTCTGCCGCGTTTGGATACCCTAGTTTCAACCATCTTTCGAAGGCTGTCGAAGTTCCAAACCCAAGATAAGGAACTCTAAGTCTACAAAAATCCATTCTCCACACATCTTGACTGTATGGGCAATTTAAGAGGAGATGATCTCTAGTCTCGTTGTATATCTCACAAAGAACACAAGTACTATTATCAACAACTCCCCAACTACGTAATCTGGTTCTGGTTGCAAGTCTATCTAGACAAGATAACCACAAGATAAAAGCATGTTTTCTTTTTGAGGACCAACTCCATCTCTCCATCTGTTGCAAGTCTATCTAGAAAGGAGCAACCATCTGTTGCCTTACTTGGGAGAACGTGAAGCCATCTTTTTGAGGACCAACTCCATCTCTCCATCTATATCTATCCTTCCTATTTTCAGAAAGCGCGATCGTTGTCAAATGAGTTAACATATAAACCATACTCTCACTTCTGGCCCCTCTGAAATTCCAACCATTTTGTGAAGCGACTTGATAAACCTTAGAATGTAGTGGAACTCCATAGATTTTTGGTCCATCTTGCCCAGTGAAAGAGATTAGCTTGCCAAGTGGTGTCCAAACATCAAACCAGAAAGAACAATCCTTCCCTCGGCATTATCATTAAGACTCCAGAAAGGCTTTCTGGATAGTTATCTATTGGATAGGCTAAGGTCGACTTGTCACCACCCGGCCACATATATATATTAGGATGTGCAAAAAGGTTGAAGTTATTTAGCATGATTTTCTAATCATAGATGGTTTCATTGTATTGTAGAATAGATTTTATCATGCACGTAAAAAAGGTGCAAGGCCATGTCAGATAATAAAAGTACTAATTATCGTTGAGTGGAACAAGCCGCTAGAAAAAGTTCAGTACAATAGAATTAGAAACCCATGCATCCACCATCAGTACATCACTGCCTCTTATTATTCAACAGAAAATAATAAAATAGAAAAACTCATTCACCAAACGTAGAAAAGTAATCCAAACTCACAAGCAAGTACTACAAATAAGTACTATGTACTCTCCGATTCCAAAACCAAAAGGGATTAAAGAGCGTTTATAAATACACCGACTAGACCATGAGGACATAATCAGCATCGGCCCAATATGAATGTCCATAGTGGAACCTCTAATTCATACTACAATGCCAAGGCAGGCCTACTACTAATAAGGCCCATAACTCTGAAGCCCAACTGGTCCCGGAGTGGACTTTCAACTGTAAAGGCAGAGAAGAGCAGTGGCCAGTGGGAGTGGTGCGGTGAGGAAAGCTTCGTTGTCTTCTCCGATTAGCAAATTAGGGTTTAAATCCGATTAACAATTTTGGTGTCTCAGCTTTGAGATTGAGAATGAGATCCTTTCCACTGCCCTCTACCTGCTGAGAATGGGCAACTGCGGTACTCGAGACGAGGCTGCCGTCTTCACTCCTCAAACTCAAGG